GGTCTTGTTATCACACGCTGGCCTGCAACTTCGAAATATTTATCTAACCTTAACCTGGCTTCATAAACATTTTGCGTACCAGATAAGCGGGTGTTCGTGGTTATAACGCAAGCCCGTATGAATAGCTAGTACCTGATTGTGGTCAGTGAAGATGAAACATATTTCACCATAGCCGAATCAGGAAGTGTGTCCAAATCGATGGATAACCAAAAGATCTCACCGAATGATTTTTCGAACCGTTACTGAAATTGCTTGTAGAACATTCCCTATTGCACTGTTTACTAGCAGGTCTTCAACAACCGACAGAAAAGACAGAGGCTGCAGTTAAGCGACCTTCCAGTCGTGCGTAAATGAACCGTTCATTGGCTGGTTACACTTCAGGAATGCTTGGTTTGTCCGGTTTGAGAGATTCATTGTCCCATCGTGTCCATCAGAGCACTCATAGGAACCGCAGTAAAAGAGGGTGAATTGGAAGTTGACCCCCTGGGCCTTGTTTTCTCGAGAGCCAAATTGCTAGATTCGTACTTTGGATGAAAAGCAGATATTCACTTCATATTATTGAAGAATGCTCGTTGTCAGACTTTAGACACCGGGATCTTGCAGCGTTCGCGCACTCAGGAAGCGAAAATAACAGATCTCTTCGCGACTGGATATTTCTGCTCGCATTTTGTTCGCCTGCGCCGTTGGACCTGGGTTGTGAAGCCCATCTGTTTCTGTGGACGTGGTCGCATAGGTGAGAGTGGACTGATCGAGCATATTTCTTCGAGATTTATTGATACATTTTGAGTACCGTCGGGTTCCTAACATTCGCGTGAGTTGGTTGCTGAGGGCCGTAATCGGATTTTGCCTGCTTTATAGAGCAATCGGTGTGCCACATCTAGGCCCTCTGTGTTTTCACAGTATTGCCGCAGCTGACGTGTTAGTGACTGTTTGTGAATCAAGCGTTGTCCTTTTTTAATTTTCCTGGAAAGCAGTGCCTGGACTTGGAGTAAACCCTTAGATCAAAGCCCTTTAGGCCCATATCAGCCTTCGGACCGAGCTTGAAAGCGTTGTTCCTCTAAGGAAATGAAGAAGGACATTATTAAACCCGGTATCTATGTAACAGAAAGTATATGCGAAAGGCTGGGGACGTACTTAGAGGCCTAATTCTTCGCGGCTGTGTCATACAGCAACACAAAATCGGTGAACCACACATGTTTGGGCATGCAGTACATTTAAGCATTTATTTTGTAGCTAGCCTTCACTGACAGGCGATCTACTACACGCCACTCATGCTCTGTGGTTAGCAGATGTGTGGATGGTACGCCCATCTTCGTGGTTTCCCTAAAGGAACTTCCCTTTGGAAGCAGCTATATTCAGTTGATTGGTTAGGGAAATATATTCAACAAAAACATTCCGGTTCATACACTCGGCTAATCCCTATTAACTTTTATTGATCTTTGCCCAAATAATTTTACTAACCGTAGACTTTGAGTGACCTCGACTGAATAAGCACTAATCAATCGAATGTTGCTTTATAGGACACATCGCTTCATTTAGATCTGTTCTAAGACCTGCATATGACTTTAGTTTTTTTTAAAATCGAATTAACGGGCAGTCAGCCTGCTAGTGTGCCCAGGAGCACGTGAAACACTGTGGGTTCTGTAACTGCATCATGACTAGGAATCGTAATAATGCCTTCTGGCCCTGCTTGAAGTTCCCCTCAGAAATTCCAAAATCAAGTCGCCATTACAGGGGCCGCACTACACAACTGCATTGAGTTAGAAACTCGGCTCCGATTGCCGAATGCATGTAGCCAGCCGATCTTGCCACTGGGTACCTCCGGACACATTAAGTAACTTTACATAATCCGGGTCTCTTTGCTTAGTCATTTCCCCCTGCATTCGAATCACAATTAGCATAATTTGTACTTGTAGAGATAGTCGCTGGAAGTAGCAATTTAAATGTAAAAAATCTGTTCTTATTTCATGTTTTCTGCT